CTTCTCAATTATTTTAAGACCCGAGTGTTGGTTCGGCCGAGGCTCGAACCCTTGACCTCCCGCACAACAGTCCAGCACTCTATCCATTGAGCTAACTGGGAGGCGGTTTGCTCAATGGATAGAGAGCACAAGCTCTTTGAGTTTGTGATCATTTTCTCTACTCTCATGATGTTAATGTTTGGGGTCAGGGGTGATACTGTTGGGAAAAATTACATGTTTAGCACTCCTTGCTAGATCTGCTTGGGGGCCTAAAAAAAAACACTACTGTGCTGTGCAGAAGATAAGAAGCTTAAGACTCACCTTCACCCGCTCGCTCCTCTTCTGCCCTTAAATACCCTGCAACACTCCTTGCCATTGATCTGTAATCCTCAAATGACAAGCGCAGTTTGCTTTTAGGCTTCTGGTCACTCTCTGCCTTGTCAGCATCTTCTGCATGGCCATTTACCATTCTACTTGGATGGGCATCACTCTCTCCATCTACATCCATATCTACAAGAAATAATGAGAATTAAGGTTTTAAAACATTAGCTTTTTCAGGACAAACGGAACACATTTGTAAAGGCTGGGAGAAATGCATGAGTTCCACCCTCCCCATCCCAGAGTGGTATTATATAATGACTTTATTACACAATTACTGGTAGAACCAGTAGTTCTCATTGTGGTCCATGCAAACAACTGAAACAAATAATTCAAATTGAACATAACATTATTAAGAATCCCAACTGGCTGAAGGCAAACCAGGTGGCTATTTACAAGCATGGCCGAAGATTTGAGCTCAGAGCTACCATGAAACAAAATTAGTGGTCAGCGTGGGACTCGAACTTGGGAGCGGCGGATTGCGAGTCTAACACGCTGACCACTCAGCCGCACTGCCTCCTTGAACTCCTGGTGCTCTTGAGCTCTACCCCTTTATCACTCCCTTGCCGCACTGCCTCCTTGAACTCCTGATGCTCTTGAGCTCTACCCCTTTACCACTCCCTTAAGGGAAAGGGTGGAAGGTGGAACCCTTCATCAATTTTTAGAAGTTTTTGCTCCAATACACATTCACCTTCTTGTTGATCTTCCTCATCTTCATCAAACTGAACATCAGGAGTCTCCACCCTGATTATGGACTTGTTCAACAGACGGAATGCTTCCTTAACATGCTTGGGTTGAACCTGCAGTAAAAAATGGGAGTTTACAATCAACATGTTGTAACACGTGTTTATATGAAGAGCAGAAATACATTAAAAGTCCACTTATATTTTGTTTTGTTTTTTTATGAAAAGCAGAAAGACATTAATTTAATTGACAAGAGATAAGATTATAAGATCGTTACAATGTGAATTGTTCTCTCAGAAAATTGAAACAAATATCATTCATGTTATAAATGAGTTTGTACTGGTTTAAATTAGTTCATGGTTTAAGTTGTTTCATGTTTTCAATTTTGTTCACCTCATCCTGGCAGTAAAGCCTGGCCATGGCTTCAGAGAGACGAATCATACTCTCCAACTGTCGTACTGTGATGCGCCAAGCTGACCTTGCGAAGCCTATATACATTGAAAATAGAAAAAGAATTGTTAAAAAAAGGATCTGTACTCAAGCCTCTTATAACTCAGTAGAGCTTGACTCCCAGTGTTCATAGACTACTTTCATAAATGGCTGCCGGATTAATATTCTTTTGTTTAAATTTAAATTAGCCCTTCTGGCCTCGCTTGAGATAATGCATTCTTTTGAATTTTGTACTGGAGAACGAGGCCAGAAGGGCTAATTTAAATTTAAACAAAAGAATATTAATCCGGCCGCCATTTATGAAAGTGGTCTATAGCATGACCCAGACTGGCTCACTAACTGGTAATTCATTTGCTTGATTTACTGGTAGATTACTTTATTGAGTTCAGCTTGTAAGATGGCTTGCATTTAACACTGAGTTAGCATTACCAGATGCAATATCTTGACATCAGTAACAAACATTTTACTTAAATGCATGTGAAAACCACAGACAACACAACATCAAGATCCACCAAGCACATTTATATGTAAGTAGCAAAAGTAGAAAAGTCAATAAGTAATCATCCACTCTTACTTGTGTCTCGTTCTCGTAGGTGCTTATATTGTTCAACGATAAAATCCTGTGCATCTTTGCTGATCTAGAGGGAAACAATCTGCATCAGTAAATATCTCCACAAAGTAAAAAAATAATCGATATCTTCATTAGCTGAAGGTGATAATCAATAAAATTATTAATTTTTTATTTCTTGTCATGTTGCTGATAGTAATGTTAAACCCTTAAGGCTAACAATGGCTATTCAAAGTCTTTTTTCCATCACATGAATTAAGTCATCATAATATTATTCACGGTAACATAATAACGTTGTTTTTGGTTAAACCCTTGGGATATTCATTCATTAATGACCATGAACTAATTATACTTCCTGTTGTAAAGTTAAGCATAGCATGACAAAGTGTGACAAACAATTCTAAAGTAAGCTTTGATTACATAATTACAACCGGAAATATGATTTATGTGTAACCCTTTGTTAGAATATTCGTGAAAATATTCCTACTACGTGTCGCATAGAATATGGAAACTTGTACGTGTTTTCCATCTAAAAACACGTAGGAACACTTGTTCCGCAGGATCCACGAAAGTGTCCTAGCTCCCATATCTGTGAAATTGCGGATACGTGGTAATTAAGTTGTTTATTCCAAGGGAAACTCATATTATCTTCTGTATTTTGTATCACGTATGATTTAGCTACCATTATGTATATAAGAACCTTGATTCAAGCAATAAAGTAGATTCAGTTGATTGTAAAGCAGTTGAGTGTCCT